TGACGTCAGGAATTCTGGAACTCTCTGATGCCGCAATGCGGAAAAGGCGACGTGATGAAATTGAAAAAAAAAGATTTACGATATATTTACCGTACAAGTTAGAAAGATGTGATTAATTTTCCTGCGCAAACATTGTATTCCAATATGGAATATAATAAATCCAGCTGGCTGTTTCGTTTTCGCCTAAAATCTCTGGAGGAAAATTTATATTTTAAAAATGAAGGCCAGTCCAAACGCATTTTCATGGTTTCTGAGCTTATTCTGGTGGTTGGAATGAGGGAAAATACTCTTTTATTTCCAAGTGTGTAAGATAGGGAAATTCCACCCTCGGGATTTTCAAATTTGGCAAAACCCTCGGCAAAGGTATTTATTGTGTGTGACGTAGTTAAAGAAGAACAAAGGAGTACTGTTGGTCAGGGAGCCGAGTTAAGACCAACCGTATTCTGATAGGAGGTCCAAGGCTTGAATACTAGTCTGGCTCCGTTTCAATTACACTTAACACAATGTTGTTGATTTATCTTTTTGTTTGTCCCCCCCCCCCATAAAGTCCCGCAAGGTATTGGTTTCTTTTCAAAAGTGGTTTATTGAAGCTAATTTCATGCCGGTAAAAGTTAATTTTAATTTCAATTATATTTGTTAGTAGTAAGGGGTGTGACACAGTAGCCGTAAACGCACGTACTAGTTGTTACCAGTCATCGTTTATTTATAGATTTATATCAACAGTCTCATTACAAGCACATGTACAGGTGTAACAACGTCCAATAATATAACCTCGTAATTTCTACGTTGTGTCTCAAATCTTTAAGTGAATGGATCAAATATTCCAGCTAGATAGTGTAAGCTGTATCAAACCCTTATCTCTCTAGCTTCTTAGACATGGGCACTCTCTCTGGCTTCTAATACCTGTTCCTTCTGCTGGCCAAAAACATACTCTCCTCCCTCACCCTGTCTCTCTCTGCCCTATCGTACCGTACTGCGTCGTATGTATTCCTAATGTCCACGTAACCCATGTTCCAATTTAGCCGAGGTGTAAACTCTGTTCTAGTCATTACCAAACACGCCAGTCAACTTGTAGCTATCTCTAATTACCGGTTTGTGAAGATGTAGACAGTTTTGTTTCTGTATCCAACATCCACCTAACCCCATATACTAATATTAACTGAGAGATGTATTTCTGTTCTTTATACCTTGAACTTATAATTCTATGCACGCCTTGGGGGTCAGTGTCCGTGGGTTGACTATCCAGTAGCCAGGCCCTAACTACCGAACTAATTTACTCTGATAACAAATATCCCACCAACTCACATCCTCGATACTCCAGGGGTAACGCTCACTTACGCTCTCTGCACCCCTGGGATATGCATAGCAAAATTTAAGCTCAATGTGGATCACATTGTTGATGAGACAAGAAGACTAGCGATTGTTTTGTTTTTACCTGAAACCAATCCAACAGCTATCTTTGTGCCTTCAATGTGCTATGACACATGGTCAGCACATCACCTTCGGTATTCCTTCTTTGCATATTGCAGAGTTATCTTCTCTTGTGAGCAGGTATTGATTGTTACGTCATTTGTTTGTGAGAGTAACGTCATCAATGTTTTTGAAAACGACGCAATTTTCTCACACAAACTAATGACGTAACAATCAATACCTGCTCACAAGAGAAGATAACTCTGCAATACGCAAAGACGGAATATCCCCCTGCTGGTAAGCCTACCGTGCTGCATTCATTCCCATATCATATCAACATGTTTTGTTTAAGTTTGGTAGAGCTCGCGTTGTCACAGGGGATCCGTAATTTCTTAACATTATGTGTTTTATACATGTATGACATAGTAAGGTAAATTATATGATACAAAACATTCGTCAACTCCTTCCAAATGTGGCGTTAAATTTTGTTCTAAAGTATATAACGAATCATTTATGGAACTTATCTGAGATATATTTATTACACAGTAGTTAAGTCAGTAAGACAGAGAATTTGGTTTAATTGCATAAAATATTTGTGAAGTCGATTTGTTTGATTTCATTTTGGCAATCTTGTCTGTTTTTCAATATTTGAGAATAATGTTGACATGCGAAGCTAGGAAATATGGGATAGATTATTTAATAATTTTATATGTGGTCTGTTTTGTATAATCTGACGTACATGTAAGATACAATTTGTAAATATATTTATATCGTACTGATTGTAGTTATTTATGTAATAAAATATTGCATTATTAATGCGACACATGTCTTATTTTTAGTTTTAACAGTGGTTTATAACTATCATTAAATATTCATCAGTGCTATTCGACATCGTGTTACCTAAATTACCAACCAATATATTAATATAAGGAGAAAAGGTGATCATTGAATGTTTAATATGAAGGCTATGTTTTGCGTGTTAATGAAAACGATACAGACATCGGGTGACAGAGATTTCCTCCGTGCACCCGTGGAAAGTGGAGTGGTTTAACTGATAAGAGTTATCCCCTTTTTTCTTATCAATACCGCACATTAAATACTGTTCCATACTCGTTATTTATAGATTTAGGCGACAAATGACAACATTTAGAATTGTTGTAACAATTGATTTATTCTGGTGGACAAATTCAAAATACTAGGTCTTTCTAGATAAAAAACACATTAAAACATCAAATGGGGGCGGCATATATTGTTCAAATTTAATAACGTGCCTACGATATCCGATGTTCAGAAGGAGTTTTGAAATTTGTACATATCAAATGTATATATATATATATTTATCAATAACACCGAAGGGCCGAAAAGCAGATGGCTGATATGGATTGATAAGGTATACGGAAATGCACATCTATAACATCATAATTATAAGCAATAACACATATGATATACAGTGAATTTATATTTCATGAGCTCAACTATGTTCACACTCCACCTTGAACTAAACACAATTACACATATAAAACAAATCATTTCACTGATAAGTATATGATAATTATAGATTATCACACTGTATTTTCAATGTTTGTCGTGTGAACAATTTTCTCATCGCGAGCACGTGGATAAAATCGAGAGGCCACCGCACGACAAACACTGAAAATACCTGTACGATAAAGAATTTATCATAAATATACTACTACCTTATATATTTCTCCATGTAACAAACGCAACTAAATACCGTGTTTTCCAAATGACTTCTACGCTCAATGGTCAACGATCGCCTGTGATAAACAAATATAAGTTTTGTGCGGAGGAGTACAATGAACCTTAAAACTATGTAGAATAAATATTTCTAAAACAAAGAGCTTATGTATTGTTTTTTATTCAGATGTTTGATGTAACATTCAGTTTACAAACATGTTATTGATCTACAATAATCAAAGAGCTAAAATATTGCTTTTTATTCAGATGTTTCATGTCACATTAAGTTTACATACATATTATAGATCCACAATGAACAAAGAGCTACAGTATGTATGTTTCCACATACACATGGACATATTTGGTGTTTGGAATATTTGACTTAACGAACAGGTGTTTAAAGTTTGGCTTTACATATGTAAATACATATAAATAATATTCAGAATATTCTACAAATGGGAATGTTTCCTTTTCTTTTCAGTTGTTTGTTTACATATTTATATATATATATATTTATTAGCAAATGAGAGCCAGCATGCACTTCTAAACAATATAATAATAAATAGATACAAGCATACCGGTAAATCTGCATTACATTATTTCATTTGTGGGGTTTTTCCATACAATTCATATTCACACAACAAAATCATTTTTATTCACAGTTATGCATTCATGATAAGTAATCTATCAATAAAAGTTCATTTTGGATTCAACATATTCTGATTGTTAATTATATAGGGCCTTAATGCTATTCTGCATTTGTGAGTAGTTGAATAATACATTAAACCTTTTAAATACATAACTATCATATCAATTCTAAATCAAATCGTCGTTTAAATCAATAATAAAACATAGATGTAATCAATTGTTAACGATAGAAAAAGCATGGTTTGGTTTAAACATTGATAATTGTAGCTTCCGGTCAAAATTGTTTGGGTTTTATTTTATGTTTTACAATTACATGTTTATGACCATAGACAATAAAAGCGATATTTTGACATTGTTCCTGTAGTCACTGCTTCACAGCATTGCTACTCATAACAATTTCTCACCTATGAACAGTCACTGTTTGTTTCATTTTTACAACATAACATAAATGCTAGACCCCTAAAAAAACTCTGTACATAAAATCAGCATCCTAACACTATTATTACGTGAACGGTGAGCCATTACAAAACTCAACCCAAACTTAAACCTGCAGATTTTGGCCAAGATAGTAAGCCGAAAACACGTCAAAAATTGACCAAAAACAATCCATTTTGTAATCCACAGAATTAATGGTAGACCCCTAAAGAACCACTATGCAACGAATCAGCATTATGATATCATTATTAAGCGAATGGTAAGCCATTACACTAAAACCTTAACCAAAGATAACGGATGTACAACTGACGGACGGACGGATTGACAGACGGACGCAGACAAAACATATAGTCCCCCCGGTTTCACCGGTGGTGAACTAATAAAGAACACTGTTCATGATATTGTTGCGACGGACGGTTTGTAATCGAACGCACGTGGTGACCTTTGTGACGAATACAGGGTGTTTTCTCTGCCGCCGCAGTTGCTAGGTTCAAATCATTTGAAGATATTGACGACGAAGCATTATTGCAGTTATTTAAACTCTGTGTCAGTGAGCAGTCTTTACATGTTTAAAGGGACGCAATCTAAATAAAATTGTATATTCACATCGCTATCGTTTACTGATATACGAGAAGATGTGAAGATATAATCTTAATTAAATTCAAAGGGACGATAATTCTTGTAAATGTGTACTGATATTAAATATTGATTTCCAACTTAATCGGATTTTCAAAAAAATGAACTTAGACAGCTGAAACATTGTATAGTTCCTGTTTCTTTTCTGTTATCAACATCCTTTTAACATGTTTTCAGATATAACAATTTGTTGCTTTTAGGTCTTCAATAACACTTATTTTTATGTTTTCTCCGTAATGTTGTTCTGGAAATCTGAAAGTAACAAAACGTAAGAACATATAATACATATTTAATAAAGATGATATCGTCATGATTTATGAAGTACATACATATATACCTATATATCTATATGTCCACTTAGTGGTAGTTAGTTATAATTTTTGAAAATTCTAGAGTTTTAATGAACATATTTAACAAGTTACACAAATGGATATATTAATATAAAGAAACTACTACTCATTATTTATTAAATAAATGCAGCATATTTATGACTCACTTATACGCAATAAGATGTATTTGAACTGAACTTCCGGTAGTATTTCATTTCTACTTCGTGATGATATAAATGTAGTAATAATATTTACGACAATCGACTTCAATTATCAGTCAGCTTATTAAGTTCCGATAATCTGCCAAAAGCTCATTTGGTTTCTACTGTCCACTCAACGTTAAGGAAAACATGTTGATTTTTCAATAACAAGTGATTGTCCTAGTAAACCGAAGAAGATGGGCGATAATCGAAGCTCCTCTGAACGTTAGACGTTTTACTATACATATTTATTGAAAAAATAAACATTTAATTCATGAACGCTTTCTCACCTTCACCGCATTTCACAAAATGTTCTTAGACATCATGGTGATTTTGTGGTAAGATTAAAATTGAAGAGGATGTTATTTACCGTTTCCCGGAGGCAGATTTATATCTGTGTTTAGAGTAGAAGTATATAGTCAGTCCAATCAGTAGGGAAAGCAGCATTCCCATCCCTGCTCCTATGGATGACAAAACCAACAGAGCTGGCAGGGCAGACTTTGTCTCACACGTGTTCCCAGAATCACAGCTGAAATGCAACATGCATCTTTAAAGAAATAGCATCTGATAATCCAAATGTGCAGATATCTATAGAAATTATAAACATGTTTCAAGAAAAAAAATCATTTTTTGTTATTTTCCCCAGTCATGCAACTAAGCAGTTTCTGTATATATTAGAACCTTGTTTATTCTGTAAAAATTCTTATTTTCTTGGCAACAATTACATAAATGTAATGCTAAACTCGTTAAACCTTCTGGATCAGCGCTCTTAAAGTAAGGAATGAATACCTCTTTACCAGGCCTCGGTGTAACAAAAATTACCTTTTCCATGCACACAATTAGTTCAGATCTTTAATTCTCCCTATGTGAATGTTTAACTATGAAAGTATTTACAAAACCCCAAGACGATCGTATCAAGTGCTTGCTTTGTGTAATATTTACACTAACATGTATATGTATGTCTTTATATGTTTGTGTTTGTGTCACACTTCTCAAGTTGCACGATAAGCATAACCTCAATAATGTACATATGTCTTATTGAAATCTTTCATGAGCAATTACATTGCCTCAAAAGGTGTATGACCTTTAAATGACCGGGAACGAAATACCGCCCCAATCTATGAGTACTCTCATAAAGACGTCAACAACTATTATTATTACCTTCCTGATACACTATTTTTCCACAATCTGTGATGGTTGCGAATTTTATGTAAATTTAAAAATTTTAAAACGATAATAAGCAATTTTTTTGTCATTTTTAAAAACAGGTGTTAATATTTACTCGATATAGATTTATGTAATAACAACCTGGCAATCATAAAACGTACACACTGACCTACAAAAATCAAGTGCAATACTGTTTCGATTGAAATAATATTATTTTCTCATTAAATTATTTTAAAGGAAATTTCATTCGTTCATGTATGACACTGTTTTTATATTCAAAACACTTTAGTAATTTTGTATAACGGGATAATAGTACTGAATTCATTTGAGGAGAAATATTTGAGTTGGAACTTGGGGTGGGGATTGATGTCCTCAAGAATGTATAAGTGAGACATGTTTAATAATATAACCTGCGTTGTGATCTGACGCACTCAGAGACATTGCAGGAATCCGCATTGTATAAGATATGAGAGTGGTAACTCAAAATGGTAATTTATTCAAAAATATAAAACACTTACACACACTTAGGTTGTCCGGAGTCGTCTAAGACGCACCTACCACCGAGGCACGATACTTCAGCATCTCCTCTTTGTCTAGCACTGCATGGAATGACACACACCGATTGACCTCTATGTTGATCATTAAGACATATTCGTCCTTGCTTTTTACATTCATGTCCGAATAGTGAACACATGTTCTGGAATTGCTGGGCAACTGCAAATATATATATTAATGTCCATATTTTATTCTTTTTGATTTTTTAAACCATTTTCTTTGGGTTAAATTAGAAAAAAATGTAGTATATTTTCAATAAAGTCAAAACTCAAACTCAGTTCATACCAAAGTGAAGAAACCGGAACTGTGTTATCACTTTAAACAAAAACATCATGAAGATCTGGGAATAAAAGCAAAAATTATCTTTTATAATTTTTGTTTCCTGTTCTCCGTTACTGAGACTTATTATATCAAATCATATTTAAATATACAATCGTACTCTCATTCACATTGGTCGCGCAAAACGCAAATATTTCAACAACTGCTTTAAATGCAAACCAACTTTCGGACAACTTTAAAACAATATATGTATACTGTAAGTTTATGCATGTAACATGCCAGAACAGCAATTCAGATATAATGTATAATTATATAGATATTTTTATAAGCGACACAGTATCCTTTATGTTGTATGCAGACAAAAAGTCAATGATATATAAAACAGAAGTGACTGCTGTGTCATTAAAACAAGGGGATATATGAAATGTACTACAAACACGCAGACTTTGAAATGTCATTAGGCCAAAAATATCCATGTTTCAAGTGCCCCGAGCCGAACAATTTTATCTCACTCTAACGCACTCGATGTACTATTGGGAAAACTTGTCATTTGGATGTAAACAAATCAATCGACAAGAAACAAGGACACTATACATATATATATATATATACTCTCTACTTCATAGGCAGGTATCATAACCAAATTTGAATATCATATTATTTAAAAAAAAAAACTGAAAATATGTTTGGTACTTTTCGTTATTTTTACATTAGCCCCTAACCCCTCCAAGAAGAGAAAAACAAGTGAAATAAAATGAAATCTCAACAGACCTTCCATTTGTCTTATAATGTGACCCCACACATACATAATTTCATTTGCTTTAAATCACCGAATCTTTAGAATGTAATACAGACGCGGAGTCTTTGTCATGATGACCAAGTGAAATTATATTACGATTATAGGAATTGAGAATATATCAGTTGTACTATTCTTTTGGATATAGATTTAATATGTCTCGGTGGACAACACTTACCTACTTGGAGTTGTCTCCCTTGAAGTGTCCGAGTTGCAGAAATATTTATTTTACCAATGTTCTCAGGTAGATAGGCATGTTGCCATTCCACGTCATATAAAGACTCCAGTACACTTTCGGACACCGATCCATTACCTTTCAGGATTAAGCTGATAGTATACTCACAGATAATACTGCCCTTCCTGTTAAACAAGATATATAGATATATATATATACTAAAACCAGCCTGGCTGAAGACATACAAAGTTTTCACGTATCAACATGGACGAAGTACAATGTGACTGTGTTTGAAAGATAATGTGCAACAAGCGTCCTTGATCTATTTCTGAAAATGTTATATATTTTGTAATAATATGCATGAACTTGTATTCATTCAATGTGATCAAAATACATAGTTCAAGCAATCATCATCTGAGTCCAAAATATTTGAAATTTAGTCTGCTCGTATCAGGCTTATGAGGCTAAATGCGACTTGATCCAGAATGCAGAATTAAAAAGTGCATTCAAAAACGATTACTCTGCAATGGTCCCGGTTGTCGAACGAAGCTTTAACTATCAATGAGGCAACTTTGCGTCTTTATGTAGGGTGTTTACATGCTTTGTGTATACTGTAATAATTTGTCCCTATCGGTCTTGTACAAAACCGAATTCGACAAAATTCATGGCAACCTTTTTATCTGCCACTATGAAAAGTTCAGAGGTAATTTACAGCAAGTTTTTGTGGCATAATTAAAAAAGAAATTTTATATCAATATCACATAAGATAAACAATACTGTTTCTTTTATCTTTTAACATAGTTTAAATATCAATTTCTTACATCCATAAATGTTTAACCGATTGTGCTTCTAAGCTTAATGTATATTAATCAATACCATTAATGTAGAGGAATGTGGACAGACAGTGTATGAACATTTCAGCTACTTTATCAATATGATTCTATTCTAACTACCAAGCGACACAAATCGTTACCTTAATCTCCGAATCGTCAACCTCTGAAATCCTCTCGTTGAGTTATACACAGTCACAAGCTGAAAATGATAGGAGATAAAAATCCACAGGAGGTTTTGATTCCTTGTAAATTTTAACGAAATTAACAATAATATAAATTGAATGCATAACTTGTTTTTACATATTAATATAAAATAAAAATTTGGTGTTTGATTAAGGAATGCAAAATATGTAGTTCTTATCTTCATTTTGCTCTAATAGACCGACCTGTAACTATTTAGTTCTGGGCCAAACCGTGTTTTATTATAAACATCTGGGTCGATGAAGATAAGGAACGATAGACAATATCCAAAGGTAAACAAAAGCATTAAACTGACTCAGCATCGAACGAAACTACAGCAGAATTTGAGCATGGAAATAATTCACAGGGTGAATAATTAAATAGTGAAAAGAGAATTAGACCTTATGTTCCAGAGATGATTATGATTATTTTGTTTCTCTTACAGTTATTGTGACAGTGCGTCAAACATAATATTTACGTTACATGATTTGCAATTAGTCGAAATCAAAGAGACACACTCACCAAGTCGTTTAAGCTTGTAACCACATATTTGTATACAGCAGAGGTAGGCTCGTTCAGTTCCAGAGAGTAATCTGCAGTCACCACTAGTATTAAATCAACCGATATCGGTACTTCGTCTGTAGGATAAACATAGTAATGAATCATATAGAATTGGATTCCGTGTAAGTGAGTGAACAAATAAATAAACGAATTGTGCATACATATTTAAAGTATACATACATTTTGTATCTTACTTATAGAATTTTACTGAAAAATAGCTCTGACAGATAACTGCTTGATTGCACATTTTGTTTGATATGTGAAACAAGCAGCATTATAATGAAGTTATTAAATAGCTTTGAATAAGATAGTGATGTGTTAGGTAAGTAGGTACGTTGAGTATATTACCTACATATATGGCTAGAGTTTATTATACGAATAAAAACATAAGTTATCCTTATGCCTATTTATATATAAAGCAAACGATATTTTCTTTTTAAGTTTGATGAAATTTTTATATGTAATAGTAAGTTAAACGTGGAACCACCTGGTTTGTCTCTATATCAAATATATCGTAAAGGTAGGAGGTTGCATTTGTCCGATGTCCTCGTAAGAATAATCAATGGTTACACTTAGTGACAAATGGACTGATCGTAATAACATTTACCAGAGTTATGGAAGATCAATGTGTATAGAAAAAACGGTTCTATAAGATTTCGTCATACTTACCAATTACGTTTTCCCGATAGAGGTCGTTAGGATCGCCTGGGTTGTTTGCTAATTTGGATAGGAAATTTGTAGTTCTTGCTCGGCAAAATTCTATACATTTTGCGGATAATTTCTTATTGTTTTTTGAGGATATTTTATCGTTTACATGTTTGTCTTCTTTCATTCGAAACGGTAAAAGACTATTTGTAGTTGTCGTCATCCTCGTTCTCTCTGTTGTTGATGTGTATTCTCTTGTCGGCCTACTTGTTGACGTTGAAAGCATCCTTGTTGCAATTACACCACGTGATGATGACATCAGCCTCAGTTTAGTATACGTAAAATAAGCAAAAGTGGAAAGCGGCGTCGTCGATGACGACGATGAAAATGTTCCTATAGTGTACGATGAGGGTGTCGTGGATGAAGACCAAAACAACGTAGACGGTGTTGTTGATGTTGTCGTTGACCGCGTCGTCGTTGACGTTGATGACGAGGCAAGTCTTCCTGGCTCCTTTGTCATTCGATGATTATCTAGGACGTTTGTAGTTGTAGAGGATGCTGGGAAAATCAGCGATGACACTTTTGATAAATAAATAGGAGTAACCGTCGTTGGACGCGTGACGTAGGTAGTGTGAGATGTCGTTGTATGTGATGGTGGCTTCGTGGAGGTTGAATAAACCCTTGTGAGTTTAGCATCGTCGTCAGACCATTTATGAATCCGTCTGTAAACGTCACAGTCACATGACGCAAGATCATCGGCTGCAATCAGTAATTATGGGCTTGTATCGTCAATTATAATTATTTTTTCATACCACATCTACCAAATACTAAAATAGTAACTGCCAGGTTTTTTCAATTGTACTAGGTAAAATAATCATCTTACTTTTCTTCTATAAAAATATCGCGTATTTGTTTTCAAACCTAACAGGTACAAAAGATCAAGTTAATAATTAATGTTTAATCATTATAACTTTTATCAGTTTATTTATAACTAAAACTAATACTAGTAAACCAAACCTACATGTATTTTGATAAGAGATACACTTATATTTTTCAATACGTGCTGTCTAAGTAAAGCTATCTTAACGAACATTTACAGGTCAATGAACTTGTTATACCAGTCATACAATGTGATGTGCCGGATCACGTATACATATTTGGTTTTACATGCAGTGACTGACGTTGTGGGAGGTTGTTAAACTCATGGGTAATTTTTAATCACTTACCGGTTCTTCTACTGCCCGACGTTAGGTCAGTAAAAGTTATCAAAGTGTGCAGAAAACAGAGTAATATACAGCAGCAATCTAAAATGAAGATTTTAAGATAAATGTATGTTTGATACACATGGCACCTCTGTATATGAAATCGACTTATTATGAAGAACATAAACTCTCATTAACAAAGAACGTAAAACATACACACAGGTTGACGCACCTTAACAAATCGTTAATAGAAGACTAAGCCAAATATGAATTACACCTCATCATACAGCTGTTTTGTCCTTCTATGACTCATAGGCGATGCTAGGGGACAATAAGGTGGAAATCCTAATAGATTTAAGCTACTGTTGTAACAGAAGAGGATGTGTGTATACAATAATTAATTATTTGAACTTCACAATTCAACAAAGTACAGGTTCATTTTTTGAGAAGACAATGAATGAACCAGTGAAAAAAATACACAGGGGTTCTACTACTACTAACTAATAAATATATGATATTATATTTGAAATTTATTTAGAGATCAATCACAGCCCAAAAAGCAATTTCACAATTCAAACACAGCTTTTCTTTCATACGTATACTATAAACGCCATATAACAATTACTATGTGTTTGTCTATGGACATTAATATCAAGAATATATTTGAGTATGAAGGAAATATAATATCTCAAAGCGTTTGTAAAATACTTACTTGTCATTTCAGTTAGGAAGAGATTTATTCTAGATCATTCTTTGAAGATGCAGCTACAATTCTTAAATCTCTTATAAAGTAGAAAACGACGTACTATTCATTTGCTGGTGATGATAATATTTTGTCATACTCTGCTGAAACATCATGACAAATACATACTGACACAGTGTTGAATCACAACTCCCCAACTCTATTGTCGCCGACATGGCGAAGTAGTAGGTCAATCCCTAGTTCACCTAGGACAAAGTGACATTAACATTGATTTTAAACAGAATCTAAGAAAGGGTTATGGACGTCTATTCATTATTATACTGTATTTTATTACATAAATCCCAGTGTTATCGGCCGGGACTAAGACAGCTGCGTTTATCGATGATTTGATACAGCGGAGCATTTACCTGTCAACAACCTAGTAGGTGTATATATATATTGATTTAAACGCACTGTACGTGTATTTTTATCAAACCTGATTACGTAATATGTCGTTATCAGTAAGACTATGATCACAAAGTCTACCTTTTAGTATTTAGAAGGTTTTTGTCTGTATTCATCCTGCTTTGCCTGGCTACTGCTTGCTACTTATGTTTCTTTTCTCTCAATTTTATGTTAAGTCAAGGATGAGCCAGGTTTCATCTGCAATCGGACATAATCAATACAATTTTATATATTACACAACTTATTTCTTATTTGGTTAAATTCAACGGTGTATCCAAATATTGGTTGTAATACCATGTATCACTTTTCGTATATGGTTAATATAAGTAATTTGCTGATATAATAGTTATGTTAACCAACTTCAATAGATAACTACTATTATAGTTTTACTCGAACAAAGCTGTCAATTTTTCAAAAATATTTTAAAACATTTTTAACATCAACCTGGTTCTGTAAATGACATACTTCATTGCTTATATTTGTCAACGACTTCATGTTGTACTGCTTCGACTATGTGGTCTTTGCATATAAACAACAAACCCACAGATGGTGCAATTCCCTGTAATCGCCAGGAAAGGTCAAAACGGTGCCACTTATCGAACGAGACAGCTCTACTGTTTTCAAACGCACAGTTTTGTTGCTTTTGTGTTGCGTGTAAGTTGCATTATGTTTTTGTGTTTTACAGACCGTGTTGTAATTTGTCCGTCTAGGTATTAATGCCTTGTCAACAAATGTAACGGTAAAGAGTTTTTAAAGAGTGTTTAAAAAGTTAAGGAGAGCTGGTGAACGGTCAATAACAACAGTAAAGTATATGAAAAGCACCGCAAAAAAAGATATCGTCTTAATAAAAAAAAAGGATAACAGTAGTATTTCAAAACCAAAGACTATAGACCAACATTCCCAGTTTGTTGATTTTAGTCGCTGTAACATCAGAGCTTTAACACGAAAAAGCTGAGTAAGCTTTTTTATATAATAGTGATCTCGGCACAATTATATCAGAAAAGTAATCCTATGTTGATATATATTTAAAAAATGTGTCGAAATATTGTTAGATTATGTTAACATTTTCTAAGGTTATGTTGACATCTTCTTTGTTAATGACGACATATTTAATAAATTATGTCGAAATATGTTACTTGTACATGTTTGTATATAGCAGATACACTGTACAAACTTACATACGCTCATGTAACCGTTGTATTGGCATTCAACTGTGACATTTCTAATATTTACGACTTCTAATCTTGCAGATTTGTTGAATATTAAACAAATCTCTTTTGGAAAAGAAGTTAATGTAAATCTCTTATTTGGGCGTGTCTATAAAAAACTAATCACAAGAAATATCAATTGTTCTTCCCCTGAAATTCCAGGGGATCTAACTCCATCTATTTATCCTGCAGAGAGTCTATGTATATGGTGATTGGCCAAATATCTTACAATAACTAAATAAAGATCAAGAAGTCAAAAATGATTTACAAGCAAAATCACTTTATTGAAATTTAAATTGTATCACATTTAAACAATGTACTATGGAAATTCAATGATTTACAAAGAAGATAATTTGAAATTTAGGATTTTAATGACTTTTTAGAAAGTTATTGAATACATATTGCTTCTTTTATAGAAAAAGAGAAAAAATAGCGAGGTGAAACAATAAAGAGGGAAAGAATTGCAAGGTGAATACAATAAAGATATATAAAATATCGGAAGGGACAGACAATTCCTTTTTATAAAAGTGTTTACGCTCAGTTTCCCATTATCCATTTACTCATTTATTTTTATTCATCTTTTCTCAATTTGCTGTATGATTTGAACCAAACGTGAACAAGCTTTTATAATATGATGAGTTAATTTCACAAATTTCACCTAGCCATTTTATCCTTTTCCTTACCAAGTTACAATAAACAGATTTTCTACTGAGATAAACTTCAAATGATAAAATGAATAAATGTTGAAATGCATGAACTGTAAAGTCGAATTGGTCAGTTAATTACTTTTCACCGTGTACTTGAGATAACCTAGCAAGGTAAAACGGGATTTGTCCTCCATTGCATGTTAATAAACACCTTTATATACATATTCACGTGAAAAGTATTTACATAATTCAGACGATTATACAAATGCTTCGAATACATCATACAAACTCTAGTAGATTGAAATGTGCAATATTTCTTATCGCGAGACATAATGAAGAATAAGAATTGGTATTTGAGCTGAAGTTGAATTGAGAACTCTGTCATAAAAACGAATTGAATATGTTATCACGTTTACCAATGGTTCAACCGACGCAGTGTCATTACTGATCAAAGGGTCCAGCCCTTCAACATACATAAGGAATATAACTGATTTTACTGAAATAAAACAAATCAACTCTAACGATTTAACGATTCATTCAAATGTAGAAATGCTCTAATAATGGTATGAATCCAAATTTGCTAATACATATCCAAGGATCTGTAGAAACACATCTTGGTGAATAATATTTGTAAACACATATATTTTAAAAATACACAAATTGAATGAAAGTATTTCAATTATGATATGTAAACAAAACTAACAAAACACTATAATGATCATATCCTTATTCAATCATTTAAACTAACAATACACAAACTGATGAAAAAAGAGGAACAAAGTCGTGTTTCAATTTCTGCAAGGCTATACACCACAATTAGAAACCATATGGAAAATTTCGATGATTTAAGTTTGACATGACATGACGCAATGGTCATGTAGGGCAAACGGCTTAATATTTAATATGCTTATATTTGTTTTTTAATATTTAAAAAAATAAAAAAAACTTGATCATACCTCATGCATTTCTCAACAAGATATATGTACAAAATGGAATCTTATTATGCATTCTGAATTTGATATTTGGATAAAGTGATTTATATAATCTTCAAAATGAATATAAAGCTTATATTTTTGTATGTCAATGCATAGATATGAAAATGAGCTATACTACCAACTTTTATACATTGTCACAATATATTTGAAATGTTTTCTAAAACAATTCATAAGTGTAAAGTTTCAGATTGATTTGATTTAAATAATAATATAACAAGCATTTTTTATGTTTCTTCATTAGATTTTGATTGGCATGCGTATTATTAAAACAATTGGTAAAGAAACAAATTGACATGAAACAAACTAAAAATTAAATAAATACTTATGCAAATGATTTTATACGCAATGTCTTAAAAGAAAAAAACTTTAACATCAAAGACATGAAACACATGCCTGTTTACAAATGAATACAATCATTTAGAAGTAAACACCGTATTCCAATAAGATACAAATCATACCTTCCAAGCATTTTGGTAGTAGCTTTCGTTTCCGAAACCAAAATAGTTGGTGGATGTTGCTAACATAGCAAAGGTACACATTTCGTAAGGTTTATTTTTGTAGTAATTTCGCTAATTCGAAGAAAATAAATCGTTGCGATGATTTTTCAGAAGATACCGTATTGGTGGAATTTGCCACAATGTTTTACAGTTAAGTCAGCATAAAAAAATAAAAATACATGTTTTAATCGAGCAAATGAGTACGATAATTTGTGTACTCACCACCTGCTTCGTAAATGTAACTTCGTTTAGCTCTTTTCATAAATATGTTTTTTGGGTTCAAACCCGTTTGAGGTCCCCTAACTGTTTTATTTTCTATTTCATTTCTATCTTTGAACTGTTTCTTTACAATAATACTTTTAACGAGTATCTTTATAATCAAATGATTATATTTGCCATAATACACAACAATTCAAGGATGATGAATGTCATACAAAACTTACATTTTCATATATCAAAAAAGGATTATGTATTGTATTTGATGTATATGATGTTAATCAGTTGTTGGCTTTTCACAATCCATTGTCGCATTAGTATACATAGGTCATTCCCGAAGAGATTGAAGAGAAATCCGTACACATAGTACAAAATCTTCTTTGTATCTCATATGTTTTGCCGCTCTATCGGTATCTGAAACAGAGATATATACCACATTTTTACCAAAGAGAGAAAAAAATGATCTTCAAGAAATACATAAAATGGCACTGTTTGAACTATTCATATTGAAATGCTAACATATATGACAATACGTTTTATTAATTTCAAAAATGATAACAACCACGAACCAGTTCTTTTCACTTACTGCTGAGATATATGTTCTTTCAGTTTCTATGATATATATTTTGGCTATTATTTCACGTTTGTTTTCAACAACAGTATATTGACTTCCCAACATGCATGTCGAGTGCTATATATAGGTACTTTGTTTGTGGTATTAAAGGTTTTACGGGACTCTGTTCCCCTTCAGTGTGGTTTTTCATTTAATCAGTAACCTCCCCTTAACTTCCTTGTGAATATAACTGCTGCACAGAAGGGGCAGGATATTTCGAGTGACCAGGTAGCTCAATCGGTTAGAGCAACAATACAACAGTCTGAAGTCCAATGTGCGAAACCCGGTCTAGCCCCGATGAATTTTGTGGTTTATATGTATATGTGTACTGTTTATTTCATATTTATTATTTCTCATAAAGTTCTCGCAATGCAATGTTTCTCTTGTCAGAAATTATAACTTAATACATTATCAATAGTCGTGCTGGTGAATCAGTTTCAAACACTTAGAGTTTTTAGTGGTACGGGAATCATTAAGGCATTTTCATCATTTCCTTTATTCGAGCAAAACAACGAATAGGTTAAAGTCTATTCTTTTCCCCACTTTCAACAATGCTCAACACCATGTAAAATCAGCAAGTGAAGTACAATATATCCAAAGAATCTTTTATGAGTAAAATATTTTTTTTATCATTTGCTATACCAAACTATCTTATCTTGATCACCACCATAATTACTCGTCAAATAAATAATAAATAAATAAAAAAATAAAAACTTAAAAGTAAACACAACGAAAGATATATATAAAATATAACCATTCATTATGAATACAATTATCATTAAATTAATTGAAGAAAATCCATTACAAAAAGAATGAACTTCAAGTAGGTACGCATTTTGTTTCAATACAAATCCTTCCATTCGATTGATATATACACCGATATTGATAATACACGTTAACATCATGACGTCATAAATACTATTTTAAGTGATTTTTTCTTAAAATAACTAATTGAAAAAATAAAATGTCGGAACTGGTGTGAAAAAACGACGAATAATACTTTGCTTTACATATCATTAAGATTACCTTTCACAATTAAGTTTGAAACATAAATTAACTTTCATGATACTGCGTCTTATGAATCATTTTGTGTATACTGTATATATATGAAATCATTTACAGTGAATTTAAGTAACAAAATGAATTTTTGAAGGATAAAGGTTCTGTTGGGTCAGTTGAGAACAATGTAAACAGATATTATACAAGTTTTGAATAATCATAGATTAATAATCGGTAGCATGTATTAACATAGTTCCATGTTAATAGTTTAGTATGGTTGAATTGTATCAAACGCTTACTTGGAACGTACAATTTTGAAGAAAAGAAAGACAAATTACAGAGAAACACCACGTAAACTTGAGTATTATTCAACATATATCTTCGAAATATTTACTGATTTTTAAAACTAGATAAATTCAAGCACAGAAAAAGTGGTTTTACAAAAACGTTGAAAACAAATTGGCCAAAGCACATAACAAAATCGAAACTTAAAATTTAATACGAGAAAAACAGCACCAGGAGAGATCCAGAGTGATACATGTAATTGTTGCTTATACCATATATGGTATACGTCCTTGTACAATTTAAATCCAGAATGAAAGAAGTATGGAAATATTCTTACCCATTTGAGTTTATTGTGGAGCGCATGATTTGCGGGCGTCGGATTGAGTACTGAAACAGGACAAAACAACTTGAGTCAACAAAACTACGGTTCGTTGTAAAGGCTTACGATATATGTATTTAAATAAAAGAGAAATGTTCGATATTTTCTTCTTAATTTGCATCGTAATTATAAAGGGACACGAAGCCATCTGAACTAATATGAGCATGACGTTCATCACGTGAAAGTTTAAAAGATAGAGCAGGCTCACATAGATGTACCTATACCGCCGATTTGCCCGTCACCTTTATATCTGACCGATATACACAAACAAATCTAATCAGGTGTAGACCTCGATATAGGCGTATTATTGTATAGATATGATCGTTATCAGTCTTCCATAAATCATCTTGTGCACTGTTTTTTACTTCGGACGACGGACGAACTTGCAAAGCCGTATAAAAACACCTCCTCACTAGTAAGGGATATAACAATAATAGGGAAACTGTATGAGCTCCAAGTACAGTCATATCTGTTTTTAAATTCGCCATTTACGCCGAGAGAATGATCTCGACCCTGGACTCTTAAAACTATATATGGATTTCTCTTAACCAGAATTGGGATGTTAAGCAAACGTTTATTACATGGTTATATTCACTGTGATAGTTTTGATGACCTTTAAAATGTCCACAGGAGCATTTATATATGCTTGTATTTTTATTTTATTGTTTATCTAAAATAATAATATTAACTAAACTGGAACTGAACAGGCTCGTTGTCCGGCATCCAGGTGGCCGAGACCGTCCGTCTCGAGTTCGGAGGTGGTGCTGGGTTCGAATTTTAAAAAGAGAAAATTGTCTTTTTCTTCAAATTTTAATCATAGGTGTTATAATTTAAACTGGTATCCGCTTAATGTCCACCTAGAGATCGGACGTCCGGGTCTCTAATGCCTCCGATAATACATAATATGTTTTTTACCAAAATAATATACATAATATAAATAATTGTTATGTATTACCGGCTGTTCTGTGTCGACCATATCGTGAAAGGATTGTTGCTCTCTTTCTGGTCGCAAATGATAAGACAGCGGCTTGGAATCAAGGTCATCAAACTTGGAAGCCGTGCTTGATCTTTGATCTGGTATTGACATGTTAGAGGGTTGGTAAACATATGCCTGAAATAAAACCAAAATAGTACTTGCAGAAGTAAAAGTATATATAATTTCAGACACAACAAAACGTTGAATATGACCTTACTTCTTTGGCGCCAAATTGTCCATGTTGCAAAGCTATTTCCAGTAAAATAACAATTCAATAGTCAGTTTTATATCAAAACATTCGGACTTCCATTAAAAGTTAATACAATGCCAAATCCCTTATGTCATATCCATACTTGAGAAACAGGAAATTTCACGTTTAGTACCATTCACTCTCGAAAGAAGAAGTCATGCTGGTATCTTTGACCTACGATGACCTATGAGGGAATCATTGAAAATGTTCCCTAAAGGGACATTGTTGATAGACATTTAAATCTACTTTTAAGTGTTATACGGATACTACCTTTTTATACCCTTCTTTTAGGTGCATCACATGCTTTGTCTCACTCTTGTTTATATGTAATGACATAATTTCCTTAGTTGTGGCGCCTTCTTATTTTTCTAGTTTGTTAACATTACAGCCAACTGAAGATGGTTGTGTTGGAAGCCATTTTTTCAGTTTAAATTTCCATATTTTTATTAAAAATGATTGAGTTTCATATTTTCATAGCATTAGATAAACACTAGAAAAACTCTAAAAAAATAAAATGTGACCAATAAGCTTCTTACGTAGCATTATACCATCAGTTTATTAAAGCATTATCACCGCCAGTTATAGCAAATTTGGTCGAGTTCGTGTTTATCGAACATATGTAGATTTGATTCATTCTGTAACAAATTAACAAACAGTCAGATAAATTTCACCTGGTAAGGGTAGTATTAGAAATGTATTTGTATCTGACCTTTGACCTGTTGTCGGGGTCTTTGAGTACTCTGTAGTATCTTCCTTCATTATAAGCCAGCTCGTCCTCGTATATGTTATCCCTGTCCGAGCGTTCCCCGGGGTAGTAGTCACCGTGTCTTTCGTCATGGTGGTCACTTTTGTCTGGACGGTACATCGGGTTAGTCTTCCCCACACCATCCATCGGCACGTTCTCGATCTGGGAGTTATCCTTCCTTATCTCTTCAGGGTCGGACAGCTTTTCACTTTGATTATTAAAAGCATGAAAATATGAAAAAAATATCAATGCACAAGGACAAAAATAAGAACTCAAAGCAAAGTGACACATCATGAACCCCCGGATAAAAAAAAAATCAGGAGATGCAAAAACCAGGGCTTCAGAAGGTAATTAGTATTCAGTACATTTTATGTGACTCTAGTTAAAATATCTCTCGACAAATTCTTCTTAACATGTTCGCCATACAATTTCTATAAAAGTCATGTCAAGCATAGATTGTTTAAGTAACTTAAATTTGAACGGATTTCTCATTCAAGTTTGATACCTATCTGTCAAAATAAATATATACGTTTCATAACATTCTGAATCGAGTAACACTTAGACCCAGTCTAAGTTCGACACATTACTTGTAAGTTCAATTATTGCTATTAACTTTACATCCCATAATGCTAAATCACACAAAAAACTCATATTCTATCAATGTATGAAAATGTGTGCATGGACGGGACATCTATGCACTTGATATTGAATTTTCATCAGAGAGGATAAGCTCCGTTTGGTGTCCATATTGCTTCCGATAAGCAGTATATAAAAGTTCAATATTGGGCTATTTTTTAATGTAAACGTCTAAACAACAATACAAATGTGTATGATATTTAAATACTTACTCAGTTGTTTTTCCTATTCGTTTGTGTCTCCACCTAGCGCCCAGGAAGATAAAAAGTAATAGAAGACAGGCGATGACAGCCCCTGCAGAGGCGCCGATGATGGCTGTGTTTTTCCCGCTGAAGAAAACCATTACCTTCTCTTTGCAGGTGTCACCTTTATACACATACATGGAATCTTCTCGACATCTGTTTAAATATACAGCACGATAAATCAGAATCGGGAAAAAAACCGTTATTTGAAACACAAAACTATAAAACCATTGAAAAATATAAACAAAAGACAGATTTACATTGTGATCATTAGGACCAGAAGGTGTTTCATCGACGACAACCTCAATGTGAATAAAGTTCAAATCTAATTGAAGTCACGCGTTAAGAGAATAGGTGAATAACAAAGAAACAATAAAGCACACTAATGAGAAAAACCATACCGATCTTCGTATGGAAAAAGAAACGAAGAATATCATAGTGGTTATCATAGAAAGTCTGGATGGAGAAGCTACTCAGCTTAGCGAGCGAAATATACACTAGAAGTCTGTCACATTGTTGCATTATGGTGGGGGAGGTAATGATCAAAACGCAAATGGCATTTTTGTCATATGACAACTGTTCGGTTTAAATGTGGATGCAAATGAAACGAAATGCATTGATCGTTTGTTGTAGTCTGCGAGTGTATCATATTCTTTTTAGTGCGTGTTGACTTTTACTTTATACATTGTACGTAAAGTGAGGGAATTTTTATCTCACTAACTATACGAATTACATATACATGAGTTGTAAAATAAAACCAAGCTTAAATCAATTCTTTATAAATTAATAACGGATTATAAGAACCGGTGTAGTGGCGATGATTCAGCATTCATTACTCATGAGCGTAATAAAACCATCGACCTTATATCACATAAAAGATCTGATATTTCTATATGGAATTATGATGACGACCATAAAGCTTGTTATTGTTTTTCATCAACTTTCATCTTTGGAAACCCTGTGTTGTAAGTTTGACCGTCGATAGTAAACAGCTTTTACAGAAATCATGAAATCCGGAACAAGCTCTTGAATAACAAATTAACTTGTAACTTGTAACATGTAAACGCACTATAACATGTAGATAAACGCTACTGTTCTCTCATTTGATCGTGAATTCGTTAATAACCATATCATTTCAACTAGTATTACTAACAAGGATTTTGCTATCTGTGTTATATATCGAACAGGTGTTTGATATTACACTGAACAATATCATATCATCTTCCATATCAAAGTTTATACCTATGATTCAACTAACGAACCATGTTGAGTTCTGCATGTAGACGACATATTGACAATAACATGTAAGATATAGAAGTGTATTAACGCAATCTTACCTGCATTTGACTGTTCCGTGTGTGTCCACAAAGCATTCGCCATTCTTTGCGCAAATGTTATTTGTATTACATTTATGGCTGCAAACAAACTTTCCTGTATCTACCACACAAAATGTATCGTGTGAGCAGTTGACTTGAAACGCTTTGCAAGGGTCTGTGAATGCTTTTGTTGTTGTTAGAAAAGAAAAAGAAAAAAGATTTATTTATAAAGTCAAAACTCAAAACTGAGCATATATAGACTTAAAAACACAAAAACCAAAAGAAGGACAGAAATAAATGACAGCATTTTTAAACCTTTAACAATGTGGACAATGGATGGACTGGAAAGATATATGTTTATACGTATCATTTTCTCGACAAATGCATCTCCATGGAACTCCAACCTTATGATATTTACAAGTTTAAACGTTCTTTTTCCTGAATTGTGACTTTTATTTAGCTTGGAAAATGGACACATAAAAAGTGTTTTTTTACATCAGTTATTGAATGTTTTTTTCTGAAATTCATTGTGCATGTATCTCAATTATGTTTGAGAAATATTGGAGGAGGATTATTTTATGACAGGGATTGTTTAATGCTTATGGAATGCATTATTTAATTTGATATACAGTTTGGTGTGGCAGCCATATTGGAATGTCCTTTAAAACACAAACACAAAAGGAGGGACAGAAATAAATGACAGCATTTGTTTCGTTATATATTTGGACAATGGATGGACTGGGAAGGAATATATTCATACGTACCATTTACCATTGCCGTCCTTGTCTTGTCAATATCAACTTTTAACGAAGAAGTGTTTCCAACACGCACGGAAAAGGTTGAATAATTTTCTGTAAGAAGTGAACTGTTTAAGTCGTTGACGTTAAATGATGGAGTCGGTGCTACATTTAAACCGAAGTTGCATCCGATGGAACCTTTGCTAAAATAAACATAGATACACATTGGATTAAGCTAGATAGCTTTGAGTCTATCCTAAATAGCTGACAATACATTAGCGCAAGAACAGAGTTTGCTTGTATTGCTCGTTTCGTAAAGGAAAATATAAATGCTTGACAAGTTATGCATTCTTTGTGCATAATTAAATTGCAAACAAAAAGAAATTATGGTATGATTATATTCATGGGATCTTCATTGTACACATCTTAATTTTAAAGCAAATAAATATAATGATTCTTCTACCTGCCAATCATTCTATATTAAATATGTATTGGACTTGTCGATAACCAACAGCTGTATGTGAAGTTGGTATATTGATGTTCCTATTTTTAAAGCTAGTAAAACGTTTGTTTGTATATTATGTTATACATATAAATACATATGTGTACACTCACAAGAAACTGTCGATGTCTACACTTATAAAACCAGATCTGTTCTTGTAAAGTTCCGTTAACTTGAAAAAGAATAAAAACACATTTATGATAATCACATATATACAATGCTTCATTATAACCAGGAAAGTATTCGAATATGAAAAATTATTGAAGGGTCGTATACAATAATATATTTATTAAAGCTTGCATTATTTTAGGTGTAGTATATTTTCTCTTCAAAATCGAAACATTTGTTACGTTGTCTGCTTTCTTTTCTCTCGAGTATTGTAAATAAATAACAGATCAATTTAACTTAAAACTTCGAGCTAAATTTCATTTTAGTCGGCGTCATTTCAACTTAAAGATATATTTCTACTTTGTAATATAAAATGTTTACAATTACAATTATATCAATAAATATCAATTAATGTACAATTGCACACCTGAATTAAATCGCAATTAAAATACAAACTGATCGGGATAGTCCGAGTCACAGAAATGTTTTGAACGTAAAAAAGACTTTTGTAATGAATGTGTCTCGTAATAAAGAAAATATACCCTATTGTTACAGGAGGTATGTTATGATAATCATTTTAACCAAACGACATTTTAAAACGAAATAGAAACATTCTGCGTTCATCGGAAAAATATTACAAAATAACTTACTGATAGGTTAAAGGCGTTGTAGTAATTCCTATAGGTAGTTGAAGATTTATTAGCTAAGTTTTCCGAGAAATTGCCTTCGACAATAATTGCCAACGGTATTGATAACTTTGTGAGATCTGAAATAAATCAATAATTATATTATCATAGTCGTTTTATTTATTATTTTACACTTTGAGACGACCTACAACAGGTTGTGATAAAGCGGTATAAAAGAACCTTGAATTATTATTATTATTATTGTCATTGTATACCGCTGGAAAAAGTACCACATATATTTGGTGATAAATTTCACAAAGGTTATTGATGATATTTCGTTAGAGTTAAATTAACAGTTAACTGGACCCTTTTTTACTAAGTTATGAGAAAAAAATGAAGCTGTTTACAAAAGCGGCGGTGTCAGGTATGACGTCGCAATACAGCCACTCATCTTCTTTCCCAGTGTCTATTCAATACCACGTGTATCCTTCGTTGACCGCGATCAATGCCGTACTCTCCTTACCATATACAAATCAACAATCTAATTATTCTTTGAAATGTGTTGTGCCACAAATGTTCCGCAGGGGACAAATCTTAACTGTGTGGTTGCCAATCTAATATTGGGACATTCTTTTGGGCTAGAAAAGCACTAAACATTTTGGAACGTGAGGCCTTGCATTGTCCTTCTAGAGGATGAGATAGCTATGGCGGCTAAGGGGAATAACATGGAGCTGGAGGACCTGATCCCGGTATCTAACGGTGGTGAGATTGCTCTGGGTGACAGCTAAGGGGTTTAAACACCATGATAACTACCTCCACAAACCATATTATCTCTCCTTCAGATTGGTCATTTTCCCTACCGCGTGTATAGGCAAAGCATTCATAGCGACGTCGGGTGATATGTTAATGGGGCTATCGGGACAACCGTAAAACAAGACACGCATCCAATCAGTCAGGCTATACACATTTCGAGCATGTACACGGCAACACTTTATACGGCGTTGATATTGATTAATATGCGGTATAACATTTGGACGGTGTGGCTTTAAGTTGAACACGCGCATCCAATAGATTATGTCTTAACACCAAACTGCTCGGCGATGCCACATTGCAAAATTAGTGCAATATCTCGTCCTCTCCCAAATTAAGACATTTCTAGCATTTGCGTTTTTACTGCATTTTGACTTAATTGTTGTGCACTGTATCTGCACATGTCAGGTTTGGAATGGTTTTATTACGTGTGGCTCTAGATTCTGGAAGTTCGACGAGTTCCTAGTAGCGCACGGCAAGGTTCTGTATTTTGACTTAACACAAATTTGAGCAAACATTATATGACTGTACCATAAACAATTTAACTGCCGAATGTCGCTGAATTTTGTCAGCAATTCGTGAAGTTAGGTAAAAATTGAAATTGCGTTAACTTCTTTCTTTAGTAAGTACATACTTAACATGTACGAACTAAACACTGTCAATATTCATTTCGTTCCTCTCTGAAAGCAAACAGTTTTACACTTTAACATTGATCCCAATTTCATTTCGAATGTTCAATCTCTCGTACTTGCCCAAACAGCTTTTGATAATGTTATACACAGGGAGTTATCGAATAAGGGAATAGTGCGTCAGTTGTAGGGTCTATATTGCAACTAGGACATGCCACTTGGTTTAAAAATCGGGAACGAAAGGTCGAGAGTTTAAACCCAGTGTCATGTTCTTATTGTCAGTAGAGACACAACAGCAACGTACTTTCCCCATTTTCACACACTTATCACTACGTACATTTTTTCACATTAAGCATATTAATAAACCCAAACACGCCTTTATACACATCCACATGAATACCTGCTACCTGTGCCTGTAATCCTTGTATGGTAGATTATTGTTGTATTCTGTTTCCGCATATTGTAAGGCGTAGTCACACCAGTATTATTATCTGGTGTTAATGTCTGCATTTGAGTAATATTGCAAAGAAATCAGCTTACCCAGTATATTTTCATTATAAAACGCATATAAAAACAAATTACTTACCAATTCCGCCAATGTGTTTTGGAATGTGAGAACGCAAACATTGTTTGTAAGTAAAGCAAAGGGAAGGGAGGGAAATTGTTTGGATACGTGTAAAAGCACGTGAGGGTTAAATGAATTTGTTTAAATAAATAAAAAAGAGTATAAGACATTTCATGCAGCTAAAGCGATCATAGTCATGTCAAATAATCCATACATGATGAGAGCATGTTCGTTTATATATATGTACAATTGTACAATATATACCTATTGTTCATAGATACTATAAAATATTGAATTCATTTCATAATTTGAGTATACTTCTGCATATTGAAGGTAATTAATTCGTAAATTATATGCACATCTGATGTCTTAGTAACCAAAACATATTTTTCTTCAAGGTAATTTATGATGTATTGTGATGTTATTAAACCAGTTTGTTCCATAAACACAATTATATTTTCCAGAAATTCATACTGTCGATGTGAACCTAATGATTAACATTGATGCTATCAAATTAAATACCAGTTTGATTTAACAACGATAAAACAGGTTGCTTACCCGGTGCATGAGACGGATATTTTGTTGGCTGAGGTGTAGCTGCATGTTTCGTTGAACTTTGTGATGTTGTTTGTAACGGATAAGAGTTGATGTATTTTTTACATCTTTCCATGCAGTTGATTGTTGTATTCCTTGCCTTTCTTTTTGCTGTCTGTAATGCAGCCATATTATGTTTACTACTGCTACGTTTCCGTTTAGCAGAACCTTTAGCTGTTGTCGGTTTAGCTGTTGCTGTTGTCGGTTTAGCTGTTGTCGGTTTAGCTGTTGTCGGTTTAGCTGTGGTCGGTTTAGGTGTTGGCGATGTAGTTGTTGTCAATTTAGCTGTTACCGGTTTAGCTGTTGTCAAATTAGCTGTTGGCGATGTAATTATAATCGGTTTAGTTGTTGTTATTAGTTTAGTTGATGCCAGTTTAGTTGTTGCCGGTTTAGCTGTTGCCGATTTAGTTGTTGCCGGTTTAGCTGTTGTCAGTTTAGTTGTTTCCAGTTTAGTCGTTGCCGGTTTAGCTGTTGCCGGTTTAGTTGTTGCCGGTTTAGCAGTTGTCAGTTTAGTTGTTCCCAGTTTAGTCGTTGTCGGTTTAGCTCTTGCCGGTTTAGCTGGTGCCGGTTTAGTTGTTTCCAGTTTAGTCGGTGACGGTTTAGCTGTTCCCGGTTTAGTTGTTGCCGTTTTAGTTGTTGCCGGCTTAGTTGTTGCCGGTTTAGATGTTGCCGGTTTAGTTGCTGCCGGTTTAGCTGTCGCCGGTTTAGTTGTTGTCAGTTTAGTTGTTTTCGGTTTAGTCGTTGCCGGGTTAGCTGTTGCCGATTGAGTTGTTGCCGGTTTAGATGTAGACGGTTTAGTTGTAGCCGGGTTAGTTGTTGCCGGGTTAGTTGTTGCCGGGTTAGTTGTTGCCGGGTTAGTTGTAGCCGGTTTAGTTCTTGCCGGTTTAGTTGGTGCCGGTTTAGCTGTTACCGGTTTAGTTGTTGTTATTAGTTTAGTTGATGCCAGTTTAGTTGTTGCCGGCTTAGCTGTCGCCGGTTTAGTTGTTTCCAGGTTAGTCGTTGCCGGTTTAGTTGCTGCCGGTTTAGCTGTCGCCGGTTTAGTTGTTTCCAGGTTAGTCGTTGCCGGTTTATTTGTTGCCGGTTTAATTGTTGCCGGTTTAGTTGTGGCCGGTTTAGCTGTTTCCGGTTTAGTTGTTTCCAGGTTAGTCGTTGCCGGTTTATTTGTTGCCGGTTTAGCAGTAGCCGGTTTAGTTGTTGCCGGTTTAGTTGTTGCCGGTTTAGCTGTAGCCGGTTTAGTAGCTGCCGGTTTAGATGCTGTCCGTGAATTTGTTGTTATTGTGGTTGTTGTCGGTGTAGTTGGTGTCGTTGTAAAATCACTGCAATTGCAGTATCCTTCTGAAAATAGATATATGGAGTATTTATAGAATCATCGTATCAACATTTTTTTCATTTCACTGAATCTACAACCTAACTATTTGGAACGGTACTTATTTTCGTAATAATTAACTATTCTCATCATATATATATCTATCGTTGCTAAATTAATATGCTAAGTTTAAATGTGTTCATTTCTTAAAAATGAAAAATATGGTACAAAAGAGATTAAATATGTCGCCAGGCACCAGGTCAACGACTAACAGTTTATAACATAAACAAATTCATCCCATGAATATAATTTAAAAAAAAAAAAGATTTATTTCCCATTTGAAAAATATCTTCAAAAGTGCTTTTCATTTGGAGGAATGGATGACCCGGACATAATGCAATTCACACTTTTCATCAAGCATGTAAGGACCTTTATATATATAGGGTATTGGATTGTAGAATTTCTAGACATGACCTTAATCTTATGAATTCATTTAAAAAATGAGAACCAAATAATTTTCAACTTTCTCATGTCGTTAATGGCGGAAGCTTTCTGCAAAAATGTATTGGAATAAGTTCACAGATTAAAGTAGAAAATGTGAAGAATTGTTGACCGTGACGTAAGACAGACAACCGACCACACGATGACCTGAAACATGTGTCAGTAAACAAAAAAATGCAGTCATCTTCTGCTTCCTTTTGATACACGATGCCATGAACATCCTCGTAATATATTTCATTTTCTATAACGTAACTTGCTAAAATGCTATTATGTTCACATGATGCTACAACTCTCCTCAGCGAATTTGTTTTTGATAGTTTGTCCCTTAAGGATGTACTCTTTTGAGGTTTCAGTCACGTTCAAATTCCTTTTTGATCTAGTTTATCGTGTTTTTATTAAATATAACATATTTTGATCAATTTAAAAAGTAAGCATGCATCTGAAAAATGTACCAAAACACTAGATGCCCAGTGTGTATAGACCTCTTTTACATTTAAAAAAAATTACCAATTCAGCGGCTATTTTGAATATCTCAAAAATGTGTATTTCTTGCACTGTACGCAATGCTAAAATTCCACCAGTTTTGACGCTATATCTTTCACTAAAAGTGTCATGGTATCACCATTTTAAACCATAGCGAGTTCATTTTTAGTATATGTAAACATGTAAATTGTACGATATTGGTATTTGGTCAACTGGAGCGCTGTTGGCGTTAAATACCGCAAAAGGTGAAAAATCAAACAAAACATTATGAAGCAGAACAAATAAGCTGTTTATTTTTACTGTTTTCGATTAATTAAGTATTAGTAAAAGTTTAATAGCAGAACTTTCTATATTGATCGTAAATCTGCAGAAAAAAGTGACAAATCAGTATTTTTGCAATTAAAAATGGGGGTAGGGGGTAGGGGTAACATCAATTGCAATTCTGAGATAAAAGTATAGGTTAAAGACATTTTTCTTCCATAATGTAGACGAAAATACAATTTTTATCAATTGTACAATCATTAATAAATTCCTGATGGTCTCTTGAAAGGTATGAATTTGGTCTTTCTACGGTCAAAACGAGAAATTTAACACATTCTGTTGAATCGGTATGTTTGACCGATCATAACAAAGACTTTTCCGAGGTGTACATCCTTAAGCCAGTTTTTTCTCACAACTATCATCGTTCCCAAAAACAGGCATAATGCATCGCCCTTCATTGAAAAAAAGCATACTTACATGTACAAGATAGTTTTTTTTTATACCAAACATTCGTTTACGCTCCTCCAATTATCTCATTATATCGTACCCGTAAACATATATTCACCTACAATTTTTCCTGTCGATGTGTAATTTTTTGTTTATAAATATGACCACAGAATTGAAAAAACATAATCAATTTATAAATAGATCATCAATAAAGCTGCAGTATGTTTGAAAATATAGAGAGGTGTTTAACAGAAAATTTTCTTTCAGCTGTCGTATCGTCGTTAGGAAGAGAACGTTATCAACGTTTCATGAGGAGGTAATGATGTATTAAAAACTCTTTATAAAAAAGTTAGTTAGCGAATGCGAAATATAAACAAAGTATATATTTACTGCATCAAATGCCATTTTGTCAGTTTAGGATCGATTAGTAATCTAACGAATCATAATATTTTGAGCCAAACAGGTAAATGTGCCGATAAAACACTTAAAAACGTAAAAATACCACTTTCGGCTAAATCAGGTTATGTATTTTAAATCGTATGAGTTCTACTTCTTCTCTGTAGAAATATACTACACCATATGGTCGTTTCAAAATCAATCTCTTACTCTCAGAATTTTTAGAAAAAATAAATCAAGACTAAAGAAGAATATTGGTGACTCTTCTATTATGAGAAAAAGCAAAAACAAATCATACAAGGGAGATAACTGGCACATTATATCTACTCAAAAGCATTCGAACGTGTCAACAGATTGGTTAAATACAGTATTGTTTCTAATCAAATATAAATGCATTGAAATACAATGTTATATGAAAACTGATACAATTGTATAAGGATTAAACTAGTTCTCTTTCAAACATTGATGAAGTAGTATGGAATGAATAATTGAGGTGAAAGAAAAAACTTTTTATTTCTCAGTAGCTGACACCAGTTAGTAAATGGGAAGAAACAAATGTCAACGGGGATATATCAAGATATAGATTATACAAGTATCCATCGAAGGATCATTAAAGGGAATCAAGCAAGCAGCTTCTAGCCCGAACACTAGTGCAAGAGCATCAAGTGAATAAGAAAACAATATAAATATGACTAAATTGAAACGCACTTTGTTATTGACTGTGATGTATAAATGCATAAGGCAGTTTGACCAAAAACGAAAATATTATATTACCGAGATCTTCATTCGTTGTAGAGACTTTGACAATTAAGACTGCCAGACCTACAATTTAAAACAAAACAAAAATATCAGCTATCTACCTTCATCCGTTCCAGGACATCATATTATCCAATAGCTTGGGATTGTATAATAAAAGGCATTTTTTCATGCTGAAACAATACAAATTTAATAGTTTCATAATTTAATTGTAAGCTGAACAATTATAGCTGTTAAATTCATGGTGTTAAATACATTGTATGCTTAAACCAATGCAATATCACAATACAGTGAAGGAAAGTATTTTGAAAATAACAGTTGCCTAATAGGGGAGAGTACTATTATCCAACGTAGACTTGTATAGCTAGTTTTTGTAACAAGTATGTGCCTAATATCGATTCTTTTCTGGATTTTTTTTTGTGAACAAGCGATGTATATTGATACTGCACACTACTTTTGTATCAGTTGTATATTTTTTTAAAGTCTCTGTCTGGAAGAAGATTAGTAGCTATTTTTTATAAGTACAATTAAGCATTGAACTGAGCGCGCATTATGTTGTTTGCTTGCAAACCTGTGTCATTCAAATAGATCATAAATACCATACAAAAACAGTTCAATACTTATATTAACGTTTTCACTGCCTTTTATGTTCTTTTTAACTTACAATTAATATATAAAATATTAAAAAAAATCCCGCCTTATCGACAAATCACACAAACTCGTTCCATAGTAGGAACAGCGTGTTGTCGCGTGCTGATTGGAAAACAAAGTTGTACTTTGAAATTTTAACAAACACTTCAATTGTATTCCACAATTCAGTATCAATACAATCGCGTATGATATGTCTATAGGCTGTTTTAAGTTTATCAATAGAAATCTGAGCTGAAAGTAAGATTTGAAATTGTTTCGATTTCTCCCCCGGAACAAATTACGCGCATGGAAAAATACAGTGTACAGCGGAATCCGACCTTGTCTTCCACGAGGGAGTTATTTTCAAAAGTTGAATGAGGAGAGAGGAAATTTCGAATTTGTGAATAATCCAGACGTGAATTTATTTGTTGAT